TGGTTCTCTGGCCTGGTGATTTTTCTACCGTCTTCTAATTCACTGATCCGGTCCTCGGCTTCCTCTACTCTGCTGGTTATTCCTTCCAATGTGTTGTTTATTTCTGTTGTGTCATTTTTCATTTCCAGTTGGTTGGTTTTCAATGTTTCTATATCTTTACTCATGCTGTTGAGTTTCCTCATGACTATTACTCTGAACTCTACCTCTGATATCTTGCTTAATTCCATTTCTTTTATTTTTTGTCCTGTAGAAATCTCTTATACTTTCATTTGAGATTTGTTTCTTTGTTTCACCATTTTAGCTGTCTCAGTGGGTTTTGGAACCTGCCAAATTTTCCTTGTGGGTGTTGGTGTTCACTGGTTGTGGCTCCCTCTACTGGGTTTGAATGAGTGTGGGAAGACCCATGTTAAACATTGTTGTCAAGCCTTACTTTCCTGAGTAGATTTACAAGTCAAGGAAAGGTTCAATTGTCTAGCTTTTTGCCTGAGGCTATTAGTCTCGGTTACTTGATGACCTTCAATTTGTAGCCCTCAGCTGAATGAAAAATTCCTCAAGCGTAAGAAGATTTTCAGCTGGTGGGGCATGTGCTTACTATCAGTCTCTAGATTTTAATGAGCCTCAATTTGCATTTCTCTGCCCTGGCCTGTTGGTTTTGAATTCCTAAGGAACGGGCCGGGCCGTTGCTTCTCCCAGGGACTCTGGGAAGGGGCTCTTTGAGTAATATGGCTACTATCCTGTGAGGGAGAGATTCAGCACAGAACTCCTGGTGTCCTCCTCTCCAGCTCTCTCCTGAGCCAGAAACTCTGGACTCTCTCCACACAGTTCCAGGTCCATCTGCCCTCCCTTTGCTGGAGCCCAGGGTGTGTGGCTGTAGGTGATTTGGAGCTTTTTAAAACATCCACTTTCTCAGCATGGGGCACTCCCATGTAGTACAACTCTCCACTGCTGTCTGTGGGTTCCTAGCTGGCCCTCACATGCCTTGAGAAGTTCCTACCAAGCTTGATTTGGCATCCTCTTTCTGTTCCTGGTTATACAGGTTCTCTCTAGCTGCCTTTTAGTTGGTTTTTCCAGATTATTTGTCTTTATTTTAGTTGTAATTCCAGTTTGGTCCTGGGAGATAGTCTGTGTAGTGTCCATTCATTCCACTGCCATTTCCCCCTCCACATTTTATTCTCTTAACAGTATCTTTTGTAGAATAGAGTTTTTAATTACATGAAATCCAGCCAATCATTTTTTCTTTCATGGATGGCACTTTTGGTGTTGTATTTGAAAACTCATCTCCAAACTCAATGTTATTTAGATTTTTCTCTTATGTTATCTTCCAGGAGTTTTATGGTGGTGTATTTCACATTTACATCTATGATCTATTTTTGGTTAATTTTTGTGACAAGTATCAGATTAGTCTCCAGATTATTTATTTATTTATTTTTGCACCTGTGTGTTTAGTTGTTTCAGCATCATATTTTGTTTTTGTTTTTTAATATATTTTTAAAATGTTTTTGAGAGAAAGGAAGGGAGAGAGAGAAAAACATCAATGTAAGAGGGAAACATTGGTTGGCTGCCTCCTGCATGCCCCCCACTAGGGATTAAGCCCAAAACCCAAGCATGTGTTCTGACCTGGAATTAAACCAGGACCTCTCAGTCCATGAGACAACACTTAATCCAGTGAGCAACACTGGCCAGGCTCAGCACCATATTTTGAAGTATTATCTTATCATGAGGAACTTTACAGGTAGTAAAGGGAATAAGATCTGTATACAAATGATTGAGGGAAATGACTTAACTAAGATATTTTTCCTGAAGGGTATAAGAATTATGCTTAGGGGTTCAAAACAGGTGGAGTTTGAGGTGGACTGTGAAAAGCAAATAAAAGTTCATCATGGGGCCAAGGAAGAAATGACAGAAACAAAGGGCACATATTACATTTTTTTTAGAAAGATTCCTCTGACTGCAGTGGAGAAGAGTGTGAGAAGGCAGAGGTCATAACAGGGAAAGTGCTTGGAAGGCTATTGAGATGAAATATGGTGAAGGTGGTAGATAGTGGTGAGAACTGTTTAGTTCTTGGAAGAGCTGACAGTTTGTGTATAGATGTGGGGTCTGAGAGAAAGAGAAGAGCCAAGGATCACTCTCAAGTTTTTTTGCCCAAAGAATAAAAATAATGGAGTTACCACTTACTGAGATGAGGATCATGGGGCAGGAGCAGTGTGGGACTGGGGTATTAAAGAGCATGGTTTGGGATGTAAGTTTGCCTGTTAGGATTCCAAGTGAAGTGTCGAGTAAGTAGTTGGAAGCTTAAGCCTGGCGGTAAGCAAGTTTGTCAGTGCATGAGTGGTATTTAAAGGGATGGAATCAGGACGTGAATGTAGATAGAGAAGAAAATAGCTGCAAGGACTGAATCGTGAGAGACTCCAAAATGTGGCAGAAAAATGAGGAGAAACCAGAAAAAGACACTCAGATGAAGATGCTGGTGAATTAAGGAGGAGAATCAAGAGAAGACTATAGGAAGCCAAGTTGGATGTATTCAAAAAGGAATCCGGTTTATGCTGCTGTCAGGTTAAGGAAAATGAGGATTAGAATTAACCTCTGGAGTAGCATTATGAAGGTCATTAATGTCCTTAACAGAAACTGTTTCCATGGAGTGTAGTAAAGACAGCCTGATTGAAATGGGTTTTCTTAATGGGTGGAAAGAAATTGAAGATATTAAGTCTAGAAAATTCTTTTGAGGACTTTTTGCAGTTAAGAAAATGGAACAGTAGGCGGAAGAGACTAGAAGTCAGGGACGGATGTTTTTGTTTGTTGTAACAGCTGAAAAGGGAGAATGAGTGAAGTAGGAGTGAGAGGGGAACCGGCAAAAGTCCTTGGATAAGTGAGAGGAGACAGAATCTAGGGCATGGAAGCAGGGATGGCCATAGATGGAGACCGGGACAGTTTATCAATCGTGACTTAATTCTCTAAGCAATGAGAAAGCATTAAAGTTCACTGTATGAGTGGTATTATTCTTACTATTTCTCATAATCTATTTATTCTTTTCCCTTTTACTATAGATATATTCAGATGCTTAAAAGTATATCAAAAACAAACATTGAAAATACAGTTTTGCTTAAAATAAAGTGGATGATAATTTTATGTCCAGAAAAGTTGAAATGAACCTTTGTGTTTATCTCAGCAACTTCTCTAGTCTTCATGTCAAATCAAGATCCTTATGCTGTGGGCAAAAATTGCTGAAGAATTTTCCTTTGAAAATAAACTCCATAATGCCTGAAATCAATTTTCTATATACATTTAACCTTTTGGAAATCCACAATGTGGTTTATTTTTTATTTTTTGTACTCCTTTTAACTTTTGCTGAATGATAATTTTTTAAACTACCATTCTTTGACTATATCAAACTAAAAAGCCTCTGCATAGCAAAAGAAATCAAGAACAAAACAAAGAGACAGTTGACCAAATGGAAGATGATATTTGCAAACAGTAGCTCTGACAAAGTTTAATATCCAAAATTTATAAAGAACTCATAAAAACTCAACACTAAACAAACTAACAACCCAATTAAAAATTGAGCAGAGGACCTGAAGACACTTGTCCCAAGAAGACATACGAATCGCCAACAGCTATAGGAAAAATGTTCAACCTCACCAGCAGTTAGGGAACTACAAATCAAAACTACAATGAGTCCGGCCGGTGTGACTCAGTGGTTGAGCATCAAGCCATGCACCAAGAGGTTGCCAGTTTGATTCCTGGTCAGGACACATGCCCAGGTTGTGGGTCCGATTCCCAGTTTCGGGCGTGCAGGAGGCGGCCAATAGATGTTCTCTCTCATCAACATTTCTATCTCTTTCTCCCTCTCACTTCTCCTCTCTCTAAGATCAATAAAGGGAAAAAAACTTTAAAAAACAAAATACAATGAGATAGCACCACATTTGTTAGAGTGGCTATTATCAACAAGACAAGTAATAACAAGTGTTGGAGAGGTTGTGAAGAAAAGGGATCCCTCATTCACCGCTGGTGGGAATGTAGACTGGTACAGCCACTATAGAAAATAATCTGGCAATTCCTCAAAAATTTAAGAATAGAGTTTCCGTATGACCCAGTGATCCATCTCCTGGGTATATACCTAAAAAACTCAAAAACATGTATTTGCAAAGATATATGTACCCCTATGTTCATTGCAGCATTATTCACATTGGCCAAGACATGGAGATAACTAAGGTGTCCTTTGATAGAGGATTAGATAAAGAAGATGTGCATACATACATTCGGAATACTACTTAGCCATAAGAAAAGACGAAATGCTGCCATTTGTGACAACGTGGATGGACTTTGAGAATATTATGCTAAGTGAAGTAAATCAGTCAGAAAAAGCCGAGAACCATATAATTTTACTAATATGTAGGATATAAAACTGAGACTCATAGACACAGACAGCAATGTGGTGGTTGTCAGAGGGAAAGGGTGGGGGGTGGTAGAGGGTAATATGACAGTAGAAGATGATTTTACTTTGGGTGGTGGGTACACAGTACAACATACAGATCTTGTATCATAGAAATGTACACTTGAAACCTATATGATTCTATTAATCAATGTCACCCCAACACATTTAATTAAATTAAAAACATAAAATGACCATTTCTTGACCACCAATGACCTAATACTACCTCAGACAAAATTGGAAATCTAATGAATTCAAATCTGTCTAACTCACCACTTTGTAGCAGTTTAAATCCTGTATAGTAATTTAGAGGACACACTAAAACAAATTATTTGTAGGGTAGTTCTTGTTCCTCCATGAAGGATGTTGGACATGTTACATTTTTCAGTGGAGAAGAAAAACAAACAGACAAATACATTAGGCTGTTTTCTGGTAAATTGTTATCGTTGAAATTAGTGAATCAGCTTTATGCATGTTTTTTAGTCTCATACGAATCTAAAATTTACTTCCACTCTGATCAGTAATAAGTTCTCAGACCAGAAAGGGTTTTTCTTTTTGTCTTGCTCCACAGACATGAACGTATTCACACCAAGAAAAGTAACTTCAGCAGACCTTTAATTTCCAATCTGAAGGATGTAGATGATTTAGCAACCCTAGAAGTTTTGGATGAGGTAAGGAACTCAGTTTCATTGAACATCAACACTGTAAATTCTTTTCATGTATGGAATTGATGTGAGGAGCAGGTTGTTTGACGAGCATCTGAACAGCTCATGCTTTCTTTGTTTCTTAGCGCTTTGATTCTCTCTCCGATCTCCAGCTTTAATATGTGTAACGCCAATTTCCAGGCAGCCAAGCCTGGTGTCAATTTTTTTCTGTTTTTGATATTCAAATTGCAAAGGTGTGAGTTTCACTACCATGAGTTGCTTATAGTTCACAGACTCTTCTTCCTCTGGAAGTTTCAAGGGATGATTTACTGAGGCCCAAAACTGTTCTCCTACAGTCTGCATGTGGCCCCCTTCCGCTGCTCCTTGCCTTCCTCTCCTGCTGCACTCACAGTGCCAGTACCCAGACGTCTCCCAGGTCCCTGAAGAGCCTGTTACTGCCATCAGTGGTCGCCCTTATGAGATCACAGCGCCCCTCCTTTTGCAGAGCTAACCTTTTAGGGCGTAGAATTCTGCTTGAAACTCCTTCCTTGTCCCAGTGACCTGGGAACTAGATCAGACATCAGTGTGAGTACAAATCCAAGCCAGTGGATTTTGGTTTCAGCTCTTTTCCCCTCAGCCCCCTTTACTCCAGATAATCAGATCACTGGAGAAGTGAATAGTTCCTTTTCAGTGAAAGGTTGGGTTCTCTATCCTGCCTGATCAAGAGATTTTTATTTTTAAGTACTTCTGGTACATGCCTGATCATTTTGCTCAGAAATGCAACCAATAAGGAGACATTTTCTGAACAGAAGTAGTCATTTGGTAGATTTAGGGTTACATAAACAACTCAAGGACTTCCTCAAAATAATCTCTCTTGTGAACATCAAACATCTTGTAATCAGACAGTATTTGCAAGTCAGAGATTGCCGAAACCTTTATGAATCCTAATGTACAAATTTTCCAATGATATGGCCTTGCTATCACATTGCTGACCTCTATGTTGAACACTGGGTTGTTTGTTGCTGCTGTCTGTGCTTTCTTTTTGTCTTTTTTTTTTTTAACCTAAGAACTTTTGTTCCTATCTTGTGTCATGTACTATTTTAATGACCCCATTAAAATTGATTTCATGTACTCATAACTTATCAACTATGAAAGTTACTTTTCTGTACTTTATTTTATTTTTTTCCATCACCATTTATCCCTCTACGCCCTCTTCCACCTCCCCACCCCTCCCCACCACAATCACCACACTGTGTGTTTCATTCTGCCTCATAAGGCCAAATGTCTAAGCAAAGGGCTAGAACACTCCACAGAACCACTGAAGAACCTCAATTTGGAATAATACCATGTTCGCTGTATCTTCCCTTTTCTTTTCTAGTGTACTTTCTCTTTATTTCACCTTCTGCACTTACTTATTTCCTTGAAAGCATCATATATATAATATCTCTGCAATATCAGATTTGTCCTTTGGAAAACACAGGTAACAATAGCATCCCTCTACGGCTCCCAAAACAAAAGACAATGCCTGTCGAGTTAAAGGGTAGTTGTTGACCAAATATTACACGTTTTACTATTAATACATCTATTTCTTTCTACAGCCTTGGTCCAGATTCCAGATATTTTATGAATTATTGTTTGCTTTTAAAATTGTAATCAACTGTAAATGATTTTTAAGAAAAATATATTATTTTTACTTTATTATAGAATACAGTCTCTGAACAGCTTGAGAAGTATTATTCCAGAGATCAGATTTATATCTATGTGGGAGACATACTCATTGCTCTTAACCCTTTCCAGAGTCTGGGTCTTTATTCCACAGAGGTATGTGGTATGCCTTGCATTCTCTTACTTTGTACTAGTAATTATACTATTCAGATATTTAAATTAATTTAAATTATGCCAAAGAAAGTTTTGTTCAGTACCTTGAATAAACAGTTTAAATAACTATTGTTCTAACATAGAGATAGGAAAAGGTAGAAAATGAATTCATATGGATGGATGTTGTATGTGGTCTTCCTTTTCCCAAAAGTATGTGGCAGAATGTTATTTACTTACAGTTATTGATAATTAGTCTATATTGTACATCATATCAATACACAGATGTCTAAAAATGTATCTGCTCAATATCTACCTCTGACCCTAGTGTCAGAGAATTAAAGTTACAATTACATTGCTTATATAGGCAATATGTATTTAGCAGCTATAAAATGTGTCCTTATGAATTTATAAATCCATTTGACATATTGATTCTCTTTTTAATATCAGACCTTGTGTGTTGCATGAATATAAATATATAATTATCCATTTTTCAACCCCTAATGGTTTAAATATAGTAGAATTAAATGAGGCAGTTTTTAATTAGACCCATTCTCTTCTAGCTATTTGTGTACTCCAGAAAATTATGTAACACTGTGCCTAAGAGTTATGTTTTATATGTGCAAAACACGCAGTTCTGTCATTCTCTACCACCTTAAAAATTACAAGAATAATGGTAAATTGCCCTGGCCAGTTTGGCTCAGCAGTTAGAGCGTCCGCTCGCAGATTGGAGAATCCCCGGGTTCAGTTCCCACTAAGGGCATGTACTTCAGTTGCAGTTTGTCCCTGGCCCCGGTTGGGGTCATGTGGGTGGCAACCAGTTGATGTGTCTCTCTCACATCAATATTTCTCTCTCTGTCTTCCCCCTTACTCCCTCCCACTCTATCTGAAAATAAATGCAAAAATGTCCTCGGGTGAGGATTAAAAAAAAAAGAAGAAGAATGGTAAATTTATGAACCTTTACCTGAGTGTCAGGTGATTTGGGCTTAGTACAAATTGTGCTATCAATTAACTATAGATCTTGGACAAATCAAGTGAGAGAATATATGTAAAATGATGTGAAAAGAAAAAAAAAAATGGTGGTCACATGTCAAACATTATTGTATCCAAGGGATAGTCAACAAAATGATACCTGATTGTCTTATTTGTAAATTGTCTTTTTACTTAAAGAAATAATAGTATTTTTAAACCTTAAGTTCTGTTTTGGAGTGGTATGCACTTCCAAAAGAGTCTTCTTTGAAGTACTGCTGCCAGAGTGATGTTATATCATACTGTCATATCATATTTCTGGCTGTTTTGTGTCAGGCACTTTTATTCTACACAATTTGCATGAATTCTGCATATATCTAAGTGTGTGTAACATGTATGTAATGTTTTGGCGGTATGAAACTTTATTTTTATATACATTATGTTTTAAAAATTTTAGCTCTACCTATAAATAATCAGGGATGAAACAAAACAAAAACAAAAGCCCTACAAAATGTCCTTTTTTTAATCCTTAGCATTCCAAACTATATATTGGAGCAAAGAGAACTGCCAACCCTCCTCACATTTTTGCGGTGGCTGACTTAGGCTACCAGTCTATGGTAACATATAATTCGGATCAGGTAAGGAGTCTCACATTCTCAGAAACTTCCCTCTTAGTTTCTTGTGTGTCAACTGAATTTCTTTTTTTTTTTTTTATTAATTTATTTTTATTACAGATGTTTCTCCTTTTTCCCCCCTTTGACACCCTCCTCCCCACCCCCCACCCCACCCCCGTCCCTAGCTTTGTTGTCCATGTCCATTGGTTATGCGTACATGCATATAAGTTCTGTGGTTTACCTCTCCCCCACCACAACCCCCTCTTCTGAGGTTTGTCAGTCTGTACCCTACTTCTATGTCTCTGGTCTATTTTATTCATCAGTTTAGTTTATTATATTCCACAAATAAGTGAGATCATGTGATATTTGTCAGCTGAATTTTGTGAGAATAAAATCTTCTCGTTGTTTCCTTTACTCACTGTGCAGTGCATTGTTATTTCCGGAGAAAGTGGTGCTGGGAAGACTGAAAGTGCTCATCTTTTAGTTCAGCAGCTGACAGTGCTTGGAAAGGTACAGTTTATTTTTTATCTGCCCTCATAGAAATATTTGTGACATATCAGAGCCTAATATAACTTATTAGATGAATATTCAGTAATTCCCACATTTAATAATGCACAGAAATTATAAAACACAATCGTTATCCTTTGTGAGTTTAAAATATAATGAATAATATAAAAAGCATATGCTCTATTTTGAGGATATTCTAACTTCCCTCACTCTTAGTTGGCAAAGCTTTGTAAATGTGATTTTCTCTCTTTTTAGCATCAACACATTCACTGAATGCTTCTGTTACTTTGTCTCCTTTGCTTACTAGTAGATTAAAGAGGAGTCAATATTACAAAACCAACTGTATTTATATATTATACATATATAACAGGAATGATCAATTGGAAATTGAAACTTTTACAAAGCACCAAAAGACATGAACTATTTAAATCTACTCTTTATAAAACATATACAAGAGTTGTATGCTAAAAAGTAGAAAAAGTTGATAAAAGACCTAAACAAATGGAGAGATGTACCATGTTCATGGATTAAAAGCCTCAATATTATTAAGTCAGTTCTCCACAAATTGATCCATATATTCAAATCAATTACAATAAAAACTCCAACATGGTTTGTTTTTTTTTGTAGAGATTGACAAGCTGAATCAAAATTTTATATGGAAAGGCAAAGGATCTATAATAACCAAATATTTTTTTAAAAGAACAAAATTGGAGCATTAATATTACCTGATTTTGAGACTTACTATGAAGCTGCAGTAGGTGTTAGATACAACATAAAAAGCATAATCCATAAAGGGAAAAATTGGATTTCACCAAAATTAAGAATTTCTGTTCTCTGAATGACATTGTTATGAAAGTGGAAACTACAAGCTATGGATTCAAAGAAACTGTTTGCATGTCACGCATCCAATAAAAGATTGTATCCTTAAGAAATATATTGAAAAATTCTTAAAACTCAATAATAAGAAATCAAAAAATTAAAAAATGAACAAAAAGCCCTGGCCAGTTTGGCTCAGCAGTTAAGGGTCAACCTGCCACAGACCAGTCACAGGTTCGATTCCCAGTCAAGGGCACATACCTCAGTTGGGGGTTTGATTCCTGGCCCCAGTCGGGGTTGTGCAGAAGGCAACCAATTGATGTGTGTGTCTCTTTCTGTCCCTCCCTCCCTCCCTCCCACTGTATCTAAAAAAAAACATCAATGGAAAAATATCCTCGGGTGAGATTTTTTTTTTTTAAGTACGAAAGGACATTATTACAGACCTAGCCGGATAACTCAGTTGGTTAGAGCATAATCCCTATATGCTAAGGTTTGGGGTTTGATCCCTGGTTGGAGCACATACAAGAATCAATTAATGGCCCTGGCAGTTAGAGCGTTGGCCCATAGACTGAAGGTTGTGGGTTTGATTCCCGGTCAAGGGCATGTACCTGGGTTGCAGGATTGATCTCTGGCCCTGGTAGGGGTCGTGCAATCAGTATTTCTCTCTCACTTAGATGTTTCTCTATCTCTCTCAAATTAACTTTTTAAAAAAGAACACTGTTATAAGCAATGAATGAATCTTATTAGATGAGATTTAGATAAATTTCAAATGCATTATACTGGGTTGAAGAAGCCAAGTTTAGAAGAGCACATACCGTATGATTCAATTTATATGTCATTCTTGTAAGTTTGAAATTACAGGGACAGAAACAGATCAGTGATTATTATGGGCTAGGGATGGAGAGAAGTGTTGACTAAAAAGGGTAATGATGCAATTTTGAGGGTGATGAAATTGTTTTACGTGTTGATTATAGTGGGGGTTATATGATTGTATATGTAAAAATCTTTCAGAACTTTACACTGTAAAGGGTGAATCTTACTTTATGTAAATTATATCTTAATTTTTTGGAAAGAGAAGTTAATGATAGACAATTGGTTTGATCTTTTTTTTTCTTAGGTGCAGTCCTTGAAATGAGATAGGTCAAGAATTACATGTTCTTATTAGGCTAATAGCTTTAAAAAACCATGTGCACAACATTGTCCCTGTGAAATTTTTTATTATGATCTACATAGTTACAATTAGTCATGTTAAAATTTTTGTCATCACTGTGATTATAGGAGTCTTGTGTTACAAGGTACTGTGGATACAAACCTAACCTCTCTATTCAAGGGTGAGCATAGTGTCAAAACACTGCTTAACTGAATCTAGTTCACTTTCAACATAATGAGTTGGAAAAATTCCATGTTCCTATTAAAAATCAATTAAATTGCTTCAGTATTTTCAATCATGTGTATTGGTATGGAATAGAAATGTACTTTGCTCAATGGATTACTGTGATCTCTACCAACCAGACTTGTGACCACCAGAAGAGCCAGAAGAGACCAGGCAGACACACAGGCCTCAGGGCTGTCATCTCAGTTACCGCCCTCCCCTCTCCCCTTGCCCATCACTCCCCCTCTCTTTACACTTAGGATAAGTATCATTCTAAATGGTTTTAAATACAGTGAAATAAGATGTAATTTTAGAGGAGAGGGGTGGTGAGGCACCACATACTGTCCTGACATAGAAGATTTGAACACCTGAATTAATTTACTCGAGTCTTTGCAATAGAAGGGACTTTGCCATTCTTTCTTGATTTGTGGGCCGATAGAGGTCCTTATCAATAATAGAATATTGTTTTGTAAATGTCAGCAAACTTGTTTGTATAATCTCTTTATCTTGTTCCAGATCCAATAATATGATCTAATATTATTTGGGGATGGTCACATATACACCCATAGCTCAGAATCCTACCCATATCAGATTTTATCATGTCTTTTACTTATCTTCTTGATAAAGATTTAACACATACAAATATGGGATGTTTGGTGGGTTGAATTCATATTTGTAATATACAGTTCTCAAAACCTCACTTTGCAGGTCCCTGATGTTTAATATAGGTGGATGAAGATTTTCTCACCTTTTTTATGGGTGCAAGTCCAGCCCCACACATTTTAAAGAGTCAAGTTTGTTTCAATTCTTGTTTTTCTCTTCTTTTCAACCATAATTGCCTCTTATAGAAAATAGCCAAAGTCTTAATATGCCCTTGAAACCACACTGTGGCCCTGGCCAGTTTGGCCCAGCGGTTAGAACATCAGCCTGCAGTTCCGAGAGACCCGGGTTCGGTTTCCACTAAGGGCATGTACCTCAGTTGCAGTTTGTCCCCGGCCCTAGTTGGGTCGTGCGGGTGGCAACCACTTGATGTGTCCCTTTCATATTGATGTTTCTTTCTCTCTTCCTCTCTTTCCCTTCCACTCTATCAGAACAAAAAAAAAAAAAAAAAAGGAAAAATGTCCTCAGGAAAGGATAAAAAACAAACGAACAAAAAATCCACACTATGAATATCCCTTCCAGCACACCTACATTCTACTGTAGCCTATGTTCCAGTAGTACCTCCCGTTCCTCTCCCCGACATACAAATGCTCCATACCTTTGATACAGCTTCGCTCAGCAAGGTATTACACTGCACTTCAACTACTTGATCCAAATTTCTACCAAGATATGAGGGATTGATACTCCTTCAACTTCTCAGAATAGAGGATGCTTTTCTAAAAGTGGTTGGCTTTTTGCTCTGGCCAGTTTGGCTCAGTGGTTAGAGCATTGGCCTGCAGTCCAGAGAGACCGGGTTCAGTTCCTGCTAAGGGCATGTACCTCAGTTGCGTTTTGTCCCCGGCCCTGGTTGGGTCGTGTGGGTGGCAGCCATTCGATGTGTCCCTTTCATATCGATGTTTCTCTCTCTCTCCCTCCCACTCTATCTGAACAAAAAATGGAAAAATATCCTCAGGTGAGGATAATAAATAAATAAATAAATAAATAAATAAATAAATGCGGTTGGCTTTTAATCAAAATAAATTTCTACTTGGTAGAATTTCACGTACAGTGATAAAGACAAGGTTACACTTGTTTGAGGGGAGGAGAATGTGAGCTAGGGTAGGAAACATACAGCGACAGTAGACCTTCAGAGGGCTTCCACTCCTCCATCTACACTTCGAAACTGTTCTCAGTTTTCTCAGTTCTCAGTAACTGCTTCCTTTCCTCTGCTTTTGAATTTATAAATTATCTTAATTGCCTTAGTTGCAGAGTTAGCAGCATCCATGAATGCAAGGGAAATGTTTCAGGATCTGGGGAACATTTAGATGGGGGCCTAAGAAGGTAGAGGAAGAATAACAAAATAAGAGGTGTACCCCAGAATGCATAAATTGTATTGGCAAATTAGGCACTGAGGGGAACTGTATTTGAATAGAAAAAGCACAGAACATCTTTTAGCCCCTCTAAGGAAGCAAGTGGGTGAATACATATACAGTAGGAGAGAAATAGGCCAGGTTGTAACATCTGGCAGTGCACCAAGAATATGCTCATATCCATATCTATTTATATCTGCATAAAATGCTTATCAAAGAAGAAACATTATATATAAAATTATTTTTTTTACATTTTTAAATATATCTTGACATTTTTCTAGGCTAATAACATAACCCTTCAAGAGAAGATTTTACAAGTAAACAATTTGGTGGAAGCCTTTGGAAATGCCTGCACTATTATAAATAAAAATTCCAGCCGATTTGGAAAATATTTAGAAATGAAATTTTCCTCTTCTGGAGCTGTAGTGGGAGCACAGATTTATGAATACCTTCTGGAGAAATCCCGAGTTATCCACCAAGCCCTGTGAGTTCATATCAAATACCTAAATTCTGGGAAACAAGCGAAGATATGCGCATAAAAAACATGAATGTCACAAGTGACATGCGTGCCCAAGCAGCACATGTGTTGTAGGTGGCATGCATGTCATAAGCAACATGTTTTCTTAGTGACATCTGTGACATGCATGTCATTGGTGACTATGTGTCCCGAAAAGTGTGCCCTAAATGACATGTGTGTTGTAAATGGAACTGTGTTTCTTCTGGCAGTTTGCAGCTGAATGACAAAATTTCTTTTCTAGCCTAATGTTTCCAAAACATCTGTTTGCTATTGTTAAGAGGAAACTATAGTCACAGCATCAGATTTCCACCCTGGTAGCTATATTATTTTTTTTAAGTGTGGCTTTTCCCTTGGTTTTATGCTAAACATATCTAGATTGTAATAAAATGTCATATGTTAAATTCATGGAAACACGAGCTCTTGTTATGTATTAGCACATTATTATTTAATATAAGTGCCTTCAAATTTGCTATCATTCAACTGTGAGTAAATTGTTAATATAAGTTGCCTGGAGTCCAGCTCCCAAGCTCAGTCCTCAGTGTGGAAAATTATCTTTTGGTCCTCAATTTAGAATATATAAGGAAAGAATATTAGACAAATGTGGTTTTTAATTTTGGCTTTATGACATGTAGGTCTACTTTGGGTAAGATATTTAAAATTTAGCCAGGCTGGCATGGCTCAGTGGTTGAGCATCGACCCATGCACCAAGAGGTTACCAGTTTGATTCTCAGTTAGGGCACATGCCCAGGTTGTGGGCCCGATACCCAGTGGGGGGCATGCAGGAGGAGGCCAGTCAGTGTTCTCTCTCATTGATTTTTCTATCTCTCTCTCATGCTTCTTTCCTCTCTCTCTCAAATCAATAAAGAAAAAATATTAAAAAGTAAATAAAACAAATAATTAAAAGTACTGTTTCATGAATATTCTATGGAACCTATGAATGCTAAGCTGTACTGTTGGCTTTCTAAGCCTTACTGTTGGCCACTTTGTCAAAGATTCAACCGTTTCACAGGTGGGGTAAGCCACACCCTTGAGAGGATTTTGCCACAGTTTTGAGGGAGTTTGAGGCCTTGGCTACATAGGTGATCCCCAGGATCTAGGGCAGGTGAACACACATAAGACAGCCCTGAGGACCTTCCTGCAAATGGCTGGGCGGGACTCTGAAGAAGTATTACAAGATACACAGTTAGGGTTGTGGCCAGAGACAAAGAAATACTATTTGGTGACTTACTGAGACCCTGCTTGTCCCCAGGCCATTCTGACCTGGGAAGCTCTGGTCATATGAGCATGTATGGGATGCTGTGTATGGTACTGTGCCTACTTAGATACACTTTTGATGTAGTTAGGGCAAGACATGAAATGGATAATTTTTGCTGGTATGTTTTTTCCTGTTTCTTTAACTTTCTGAATGTTTATCTACTAAAGGTCAATATATTTTCTATAGCATCATCAGGCCCTGTCAGATTACAGTTCTCAGTAAACGTAAACTGATAATTAAAGAGAAAACCTCTGGACTGACAAACCTCAAAGGGAGAGGATGTGGGAGGGCGGGAAGAGATAAACCAAAGAACTTACATGCATATATGCCTAACCAATGGACACAGACCACAATATGGCAGGGGGAGGAGAAGACAGGAGCAAGGAGGAAGGTGTAAATGTCAGGAAGAGGAGCAACATCTGTAACAAAAAAACTAATTTGTTTTAAAAAAAAACAACCTCTGCCCTGGTTTTTGTGCTCAGTGGTTAGAGCATTGGCCCATGAACTGAAGAGTTGCAGGTTGGATCCCTGGCCCATGAAAGAAGCAGCCAATCTATATATCCCTTTTACATTGATGTTTTTTCTCTCTCTCCCCACCCCTTCTTCCCCTTCCTTGCACTCTCTTGAAAAAAACTCAATAGAAAAAATATTCTCGAGTGAGGATTAACAACAACAAAAAAGAGAAAAACTCCAATTTTGTGTGTCTACATTTATGAGTCATTTTTCTAATTGTACCCTGGGTATTTAAGTGTTAAAGGTGACACACAGAACAATCGTGATTTCATTACAAAGCAAACTGAAGTATATGCTGTGCTACTCTTAGAGAGTTTTGTTGTTCCTGTGGTGAGAAAAGACAACACCTACATTTTTCGTTTTGTTTTAACCATGCCTGTGCACAGTGTTAGTGTTCACTGAAGTGTTCCTGGTGACTGCAATAGGTCAGGCAAGGGTGTGGAGAGGTAGATGCCTCACTTCAACATCTGAGCCAGTGGACCGCCCTTGTCACGATGCTCACCTTCCTTTGCTTTCATGACTGGATTCCCTGATTCCTCTCAAAGCTCTGAATTTTTCTCCCCTCACTTAGATTCATCCACCCATTTCCAAAATGTGTACTGTTCTTGGGGTGTTTCTCTTTTTTGTCCTTGATACCTCTCTTTCTATACACACACACGCACATGCACACGCACATGTACACATACACACTTGGTTCTGTTTCTCTGGAGAACCCTGAGAACACAGTGGCCAAGAAGGGTGCTTGTGCAGCAACAATTTAGTGTCTCCTGACCCTGTCGTCTGGTAACATCCAAAACTGTGTGATGGGCTGAGTGCCTTATTCCAACTGAAAGAGGAGTAATATAAAAGATATAAAGATAGCAAGGCCTTAGGATTTGAGAATATAATTTAGCACCTGTAGGAGGAAACATTCTATGCCCCAACCCCATTCTCAAAGCCTGGTGACAATGGAGTAAGATAGTGGGGTGAAGGTTTAGGACCACCTCAAATAAGAGGAAGGTGCAGGGAAGATGAGGAGGGCAAAGCCACAAGACAGATGCAAACCCCCAGAGTCTCCAAATGGCCATGATGATCTTCAGAATAAAAGTGAAGCAGGGCCAAAGGAGGACAATGAAGACTGTGAACCTGTAAAGCAGGAAGACAGTTAATTGTTTCTCAAGGGAACTTGCCTGACCTTGGAGAGAATGTGTGATCCATTCCAGGGACCCTCCAGAGCAAAAGGAAGACAAGGAATGGAGGAGAAAGGGGACTCTGAGGTCTCAGAAGTTATGTCTGGACCATCCTGAGCCAGAAACTCACCCTGTTATGACCCTTATTCCCTTAATTGTATTATTCTGGAATCTCAGAAATGCTGTCTATATGCAGAACCCCAGAGTCATGGAACTTGAATTCATGAGAAACTGATTCCTCATCGGTGAGAAAACAGAGTCCCACAAAGTCGGTGTAACAATGTGGTGAGAGACATGGGCTTTGGGGTCCAACAGCCTTGGGTTGAATCCAGTTTAGCCATCAACTCTGACCTGAGAGATTTATAGCTGCTCTAAGCCTCATGTTTCCTGTATGTAAAATGAGGGAAGTGCATGACTAATAACCAGGGGATTATGGCAGGTAAATGAGGTAATGTAGTACTTATGCTCTGGCATGCTGTCTCTATATTATTAATTTGTTCCTTTTTCTGTCTGCTCCACTAGCAAGTCAACTCCAAGAAAATAGGGCCTTTTGACTGCTCCTGCTGCATCTAACAGTGCCTGGTAGTCACACACAAATAGGTGTTAAGTGATTCATATAAAATGCTTAGTAGTGTCCAGAATTCAATGACAGTGATTGTTGAAAATAATTACAGTAACAACCAAAGAAAGCCAAAATCCAGTATCCTGGGAAGCCCATGTTGATACTTACAGTTGCTGTTGTTCTGATAATTATATTGGCAAGTAATTTCAATAATTAATAAATATTCATATTAACCACCTTACCAAAAATGTCTTCTTTTTTTAGTGGAGAAAAAAACTTCCATGTTTTTTACTATATCTATGCTGGTTTAGCTGAAAAGAAGAAACTGGCCCATTACAAACTATCTGAAAATAAGCCTCCCAGTTAATTCAGCAAGTTGTACTTTTCATAAATGGTACTTTTAATTTCTACTTAATTTTAGATTTTTACTCATTCTTGCATATATTTTCAGATACCTACAAAATGACCACCTCAGAACAGTATAAGACATGACAAATAATGGTGTCTATAAATCTTAGTATGAATTAATTGAGCAATGCTTCAAAGTCATAGGTTTCACAATGGAGGTGAGTATGAAAGACATATGGAACCCTTCAGGAAGTATTGTTTTATCATCACTATTTGCAAGAGTCAGCATTTATTGAATGATTAAAAATATCAAGCATTATGCTAAGTGCTTTACATGGTAATCCTTTATTTATTTATTTTTCTTTATTAATTTTAGAGTGAGGAAGGGAAAGGGAGAGAAAGATAGAAACATTAATGAGAAAGAACATCAATTGGCTGCCTCTTGCATGTCCCCTACTGGGGACCAGGCCCACAACCCAGCCATGTGCCCTGACTGGGAATCAAACTGGCAACCTCTTAGTGTATGGGTCGACACCCAGCCACTGAGTCACACCAGCCAGGCTATATGGTCATCCTTTTAATTACTCAAATAACCTCATGAAATGACTATAATTATATTTACTTTATGAATAAGGAAACAATGGCCTTGAGATATAAACTAATTTGGTTTTGTTCTTAATCTTTTATTTTACTTATATTTGCATCTCCTGCATATATTACATGTTACACAGATGCATAAATATGATCATATTACATGTTCTTTTCTTAATGCAGTCTTTATATAACAACTCTATTAACATAATTCATATACCATACAAGTCAGACATTTAAAAGTAAATCTTAACGATTCTTAGTGTATTCACAAATGTCTTCATCCATTACCATCATCATTTCTAGAATGTTTTTGTGCTCTAAATTTTTCATTTCAAAAAGAAACATGCTGGAAGTGGTTCCTCCTCTTTTTGATCCCATCTCTGCTTTCTATCACTCTTAATCTTTTTATTCTGGACATTTCACTGATTTCTCTCATTTCTTATAATGTTTTCAAGCTTTATCCATGTTGTAGCACTTATCATTATTTATTTTTATTGTTGAGTAAATACTCCATGTTATGGCTATACCTTGTGTTGCTTATCCATTCATCAGTTCATGGACATTTTTTTATCCTCACCTGAGGATATTTTTGCATTTATCTTCAGATAGAGCGGGAGGGAGAGAGAGAGAAACATCAATGTGAGAGAAACATATCGAGTGGCTGCCACCCACATGACCCTAACCAAAGCCAGGGGAAAAACTTCAACTGAGGTACATGCCCTTAGCAAGAACTGAACCCAGGACTCTCTTGTTTGTGGGCTGACTCTCTAAACACTGAGCCAAACCAGCAAGGGCAGTTCATGGACATTTAGGTGGCTTCCATTTTTGGCCATTATGAATAATACTGCTATGAACATTCATTTACACTTTTTGTGTGGACATGTTTTTATTTCTGTTTGGTATATAATTAAGAGTGGAACTACTGGGTCATAGAGTAACACTATGCTTAACCTTCTGAGGAACTGCCAGACTTTTCCAAAGCGGATGTACAGTCTTACATTCCAACCAGCAGTGTATGAGGTTCTAGTTTCTCCCTCTCTTCCCCAGCACTTACTATGATGTCTGTTTTTATCATAGCCATCCTGGTGGGTGTGAAGTGGTATATCATTGTGGTTTTATTTGCTTCCCTAATCGCTTACAATGCTGAAATTCTTTTCATGTACTTATTGGCTTCTGGTCTTGGTTTAAAGTTTTTCCTATCTCTAGATTGTACATATAGTCTCCCAGATTTGGTTATAAATTTTAAAAGATTATTTGTCTTTAATCCATTTGAAATGTATTTTTTGTAGTACCAGATAGAGCACTACTTCTGTTTTCTTCCACATGGACTTGTGCTTCACTGTAATTCAAGGCTATACCCTTTTGCCACTGCATTGACTGATCCTATATTAAGGCCTTATATAACATGGAGTCCATTTCTAATATACCTATTTTATCCACCAATTTATGGTTCTACTTCTATACCAATATCTGTTGGCTTGACTAGAGTGGTTTGATAATATGTTTTTCTAATAAGGAATCCTGCTGGTAATGTAAGTCCTGTTATCACTTTTCATGGCTCTTATTAGCTCTTGTCTGGCATTTATTTGTCCAAATAAACTTTGACTATTCAATTCTCAGAACCCCAGTTGGAATTCTAATTAGAATTATATTAACTTTATATATTAATTCAGGGGCATTGCCATATTTTGATGTTATGTCTTCTCATCCCTAATCATGATATGCTATTCCATTTGCTTAGATGTTGCTTTTTGTTAAGATTTTTGGTGTTATTCTAAATTAAATATTTTTCCTCTCATTGGTAGCCTTTTCGAAGTATATAATCTTATCATCAGCAAAAAAAATACTTTTTTCCCTCTTTTCTACATTATGCCAGTCATTTCTTTTTCTTTTGTACACTTAGAGCATCTAAGATATATTAAGCAATAAAAACTTAGACAGGGAGACAAGCTGTAATTATTATTGCTTAATATGTCTTAGATGCTCTACCTAATACATAGAAACAAATACAGGGAGGCTGCCAAACTGAGGAGACAAAGAAACATGTCCCAATTGAAAGAACAAAATAAAACTCCAGAGAAAAAACTAAACAAAATGGAGACAAGCAAGCTACTAGATATAGAATTAAAAATACTGGTTATAAGAATGCTCAATGAACATAGGGGAGAAATAGATGAACTTAGTGAGAACTTCAACAGCACAAACAAGACATGGAAACCATAAAAAAGAATGCATCAGAAATGAAGAATACATTACAGGAAACCAAAAGTGGGTAGATGAAAGAGAAGCAAAGCAGAGAGTTGGAAGATAATGAGGCAGAAAACAATCAAAACAGCAAAAAGAAAAAAAAATCCAAATACATGAGGATATTATAAGGAGCCTCTGGGACACCTTCAAGCATACCAGCTTCAGATCATGGGCATGCCAGAAGGAGAAGAGAGAGGAAGAAATTGAAAACCTATTGAAAAAATAATGATGGAAAACTTCTATAACCTGGTGATGGAAATAGACAAACAAGTCCAGGAAGTACAGAGTCCTAAACAAGATGAACCCAAAGAGGCTCACACCAAGATGTGTCATAATTAAAATGCCAAATGTTAAAGACAAATAGAACCTTAAAAGCAGTTAGTTACCTACAAGGGAGCACCCATAAGACTGTCAGCTGATATCTCAATAGATACTTTACAGGCCAGAAGGGATTAGCATGAAATACTCAAAGTCATGAAAAGCAAAGCCCTACAATCAAAATTACTTTACAGAGCAAAGTTATCATTTATAATCAAAGGACATATAAAGAGCTTCCCAGGCAAGTAAAAGCTAAAGGAGTTCATCACCATCAAACCAGTATTACATAAAATGTTAAAGGGTTTTCTTTAAGAAGAAGAAAAAAAACAGATTAAAAATATAAACAATAAAATGGCAATACATACATATCTATCAAAAATTGAATATAAAAAGCTAAGTAAATGAACAAGCAGAACAGAAACAGACTCAGGTGATTGCCAGAAAAAAGGGAGTTTAGGGTATTGGTGAAAAAGGTGAATATAATTGAATAATAAAAAAATTATTAAACAAAACAAAATAATTCACTGAATGTGAATCAGGCTTTTAGATAAACTTTCAGGAAAGTAATATGCAATTTGTTAAAATTTAATTTAATTTAACTGCAGCTTTAAACAGTTATGTTTCTGTTTAAGGCATTTACTGAGATTCCTTGGGTTGGTAGATCTAAGAACTTGAGATAAAAATATATAATTATTCTCTAAAAATTTGGATACATTTATCAGCAGGATATAAAATATATAGATTCTGATATATGGGAAATTAAAAACTCATTTAAATCACATGCAGTGAAGTTAGTGAATCTAATCATTTTATAAATGTTTTTAAGACAAAGTTGACTCCTTCTAAAATGGAAGACTGTCCACAGTAACCTTTAGTCCATTGATTCATTTGCTTGCCAAAAGTGTAATATTTCTAAACATGTATGTGCTCTTGATATAGAGAAAAGTTTGTAGCTAAGTGCATTTTCTCCAAATATGAAGCCATAGACCTTACTACTAAATTCTACAGTCTCATCTTCTCTTTGAAAGCTTTTGGTTCCACCACGGATATTCTTACTGCAGATTTGTGGGAAGGATATTCTCAAGACCTTGACCCTAGGGAATGAGGTATTATCTTTACCAAGTGGGTGAGGTTGGTGAAGAAGGGCAAATGAATGGCTTTTCTTTTTACTTGAAATTAGGACCCTACCTTCATGGGGATGTTTAGATAAGTCAGGGTAATCAGTCCATCAGAAAACATTTTACCTCTTAGAGTTAATTTTTCTAGTGTGGCCTTCCTCCATAGCCAAGAGGAATTCAACTTTGATGAGGAGACTTCCTACCTGGATGTTTTACAGCCCCAATATTTAGAGTCCCTCCTTGAGTTATAAATACATTACTACTGTTTCTAGATGAATCAATTGATTATATATAGAGGGGAGTGAGAGGTTGAGGGAAACTAACAGGCTGTTTCCAGAATCAGCCAAGGAGAAATAACTTCTTTATGGACCAGAAAAGAATTATTGCTGACTTTCCCAAAGAGTTCTCAGTTTCAGCCAGCACACTGAATTATATGGACAAGAGGGATGCAATATTATAGTCAATGGCAAGCAAAGGTTGAATGCATCCTTAATAAAATATGCTACTCACATGAAGTCTTGAGCTGAAAAGTTGAGTAACTGTTTTGGTTTAGAAGTAGAGACTCCAACTTGACCATCCTCATTCTTGAATGATGCGTTCTCTGTGTAGATTCATGGACCCTACCTTGAACTGTGGCCTTATAACACAGACTGTCATTCTATTACTAGTTAACTGCAGCTCAAGTCAGGAAACTCATTGGTTCTGTGGTCTCTAGGCATAAAGGAGATGACTGGGCCCTTCTCTATGTTGATGCATTAAATAGTTTTTAGGCTGTCAAAGCTATTGGAACAAAGAATCCATTGTTTTATAAGATTTCTGAAGCTTTGTGGGAAACCTTGCAGACTCTACTCTTAGCTGTAATATGTTTCTGTGAAGAAATTTTTCTTGGCAAAAAAGGGGCCTGGTTCTTAATGTGGCCAGTATGTAAATTCCATTCCCCT